AGAAGAAGAAGAAGAAGAAGAAGAAGAAGAAGAAGAAGAAGAAGAAGAAGAAGAAGAAGAAGAAGAAGAAGAAGAAGAAGAAGAACCACAAGGTAACCGGCGCCACATGTTGTAAGCCTCTTGTTGCCCATCTTTTTAAATATCGGAAAAAGCAAACAGAGTTGAAAAATTTGTATGAATAACGAACAAAGTGATGAGTTTTAGTAAAGAGTTTTACGGCACTTGCAACACAATAAGGTCATATAAGTGCTGAAGATTAGAGAGGTGTTACAAGAGAGTGACAAACAGAAAAAAGAAGGAGGGTAGATAAAGACGATAGATGTTTGATAGGAAAGAAGGAGCAAACCACACCAGAACACCCGCCAACCACCCACCCCAGTGATGAGTCTTTTTTTCCCTAAAGTGCCCCCAAAACAACAACAGGTCTTTCATTAGGCGTTTTCGAAGAAGGACAAGACTTTGGGCGTGCTCTGCGAGTTAATTTGGAACTTCTCGTAGACGAAACGAGACTGTGACGGGAGAAATTGTGGCAACAGCTGGTCGCTTTTAAGGACAAGCAGGCTAACCCAGAATTCAGGGCTTTCCAGAAATCTTGACATACACCAAAAGTGGGCATTGCCCTACCTATAGGAGAAGTTTGGTTTCATTGGTGTGTATAATTATTTGTTTGATTATAGAGAAAACTCGACTTGTCTTTTAAACAGACTGAACAAGGGGCAAAAACTTTACCTTCGATTTTTTCAAAACAGGATTTTTCGGGATAGCCCCCTTGTGCTTAAAAGCGACCAACGATATTATCCGGTAACGTGGATATGTGTCGTTTCGGTACGGTTTCGTCTTAACAAATCGTTAAGTCCAGGTCCACGTTGACGTTGAACGGGCCTGTTTCGTCTCGGCATCGTTTCGTTTTCAAGTATTTCACTTGGGCCATGGCTTTTACAGTCTGCTATTCCATAAAACAAAAGACACACCTCCCCAGCTGTTGGGGTGCCACTTGCACGCCACAGTCTTTCCAGCTGATTAACCAGCTGTTAACTAGCACGATCAGCAGGCAGACCCTTTCATGGATCCCAGAGAGGAGGGGGGAGCAGCTATGGACATGTGCCGCCTGCTATGATTCTAGCTCTGGATCCAAGTAATCCAAGTAATCCAAGTAATCCAGAAGGCAGACCCTTTCATGGATCCTAGAGAGGAGGGAGGAGCAGCTATGGCATTGTGCCACCTGCAATGATGCCTATTCTCCAAGCAAGCAAGTAAGTAAGTAAGTAAGTAAGTAAGTAAGTAAGTAAGTAAGTAAGTAAGTAAGTCAGTCAGTCAGTCAGTCAGTCAGTCTTTCCAGCGTAAGAGTAAAAGCACCATTCCTCAGTACTTCCTACTACTACGTCTTCTTCGATAACTCCCTCGTTCGTGCCGATCTGTCAACATGGAGTCAGGCTTAGGCCCCAGACGGAAATAGACTTTAAAAACCCCCACAGTGTGGTCGTAGCGACATTCCAAAATGACCCGACTGTATCTCTAGTGTTTTGCGACTGTAGCATTCACCAAATTAAAAAACTAATCAATACAATCAGAAAAAACAAAAATATTTTAAGAAAGCAAAACAGCAAGCATATAAAAGTAAACTAACAACCGCATCCCCCCCCCCAATAAAACCAACCAACCAACCAACCAACAAACAAACAAACAAACAAACAAACAAGCAAGTTAACAAACAAACAAACAAACACCCCACCCCCACCCCCACTCAAAAAAAAAAGAAAAGAAAAGCATAAAAAATACCATCTAACTCCGTGGAAAGGTTGGCAGGTGCTCTGGTGTGGTTTGCTCCTTCTTTCCTATCAAACATCTATCGTCTTTATCTCCCCTCCTTCTTTTTTTGTGTTTGTTACTCTCTTGTAACACCTTCGGCACTTTTGTGACCTTATTGTGTTGCAAGTGCCGTAAAACCCTTGCTAAAAAAACCAACAACCAACCTCTGGGAGATCAGTGT